TCCCGCCTGCTTTGACGCCCACCCAAGTGCCGTATCAACAACTCCTTCCCAACTTTCCAAGGTTGCCAAGTGAATAATGGTGCAATTTGCAGCAGCAAATCCAATGCTCCTATTCCGTGTTCGTCAAAAGTTCCGGGATTCGGAACTTTTTTGTTCCGATTTCTCCCCCTCCGTGACCGTCAAAAGTTCCGGGATTCTTTTTAGATTTTTTCAAAAGTTCCGAGAAGTTCCGGAAAATGCAAAAGATTCGGAAAATTTTGAGAATTTTAAAAAATCCGGAACATTTTGAGAATTTTCAAAGATCCGGAACATTCGGTGAATTTCAAAACATCCGGACATCATGTTTTTTTGGTAGGAGAACAGAATGTGGGGACGGAAAATGCAAAATCTTGAATGGAATTACGGCGTTTTTGCCAGAAGGCAGTATAGGTGATTAAGGGAGGTGCAAAAAGATCCTCCACACGGGATTTTAAAAAAAGACTAATTTAACGAGTCTGGAGTAAATTGGCTGATTATTGCGCTGGTCTCAGAATCGTGTGTCCATGCTTGATTCTTGTAGATTAGATACAAATAGTAAGATCCATCCAAATAGGAACTTTTCATGTCCAATATCAACCGACATATCGTGCTTTGAAAAACTCGATACATGACGTCATCTACTATGGTAGTGACACCCTTGGTTTCTTCTACCTTGCTTTCATCCGAGTTTCAAGTTTCACGTTGAGTAACCGGTCCAAATGTGTGTCTCACTGATTGATGGAGGAAACCAAGGGTGTCACTACCGCGGTGGATGACGTCATAAATCAAATTTTACAAAATGCGATATCTCGGTTAATATTGAACGTAGAAAGTTGCTATTTGGACCAATCTTATTCTTTCTAGCTCATCTACAAAAATCAAGCATCAAAACACGATTCTGTGACCAGCACGACCCACTGCTCGTGCTCAACTCTTGGGTCATGAGTCATCATCAGGCAAATCTGAGCGTTAATTCCCGAGAGTGACTTTTACTCTATTGGAAAGATATCACCTAGGGGTCACTAAAATGAACCATCCCTACAGGCTGATTATTGAAATTAATACAGAAAGCGATGGACAAAGAAGAAAAACTGAAAATAAAGCGATTTTATTGGTTGAAACGGGTGGTGCCTGTAGACTCAGGGAGAAAATGATGGACTAACTCGTTGCTTGGCTGACATAAAGGAGTAACTACACATTGAGATGAGTCCGGAGAAGCATTGAATTGCATGAAAGACAGGGTTCATTGCAGAATGTAGTTACGCCCGTATGTTAGGTAGGCGACGAACTAAAGGGTCTCTCGTGAGTTCATGTAATAAGTTAGTCTATTACCTACCTCCTTTGTCCATTGCAACCATCTGCCTCCACCAATCCATCTACCTTTTGTCTTCTTTGTCTATAGCTTTGTCTATCGATTTTAATAATCGGCCCGCCGGGTAAGGATGTAAAGATGCATTCATATTTGAATAGTCGCAACACCCGGCAACCGTTTCATCCGATTTGCCGGTGCCCCCTCCGATAATAATCTCTCGAACTGTGAGTTTTCACCATTCCGAAAACCGGTGGGTGGGGGAGGGGGGGTCATGAGCTGCTTTCGGCAAGCGTCTGGAGTCTAAAAGAGGGACGAAAATAGGTCATCGGGAACCCGGGGTGGAATTGAAATATATTCGCTTCAATTGAAGCAGAAAATATTCGGGGTTTTCCGCCCGACATTGTGCCCTCCGCCTCGAAAACCGCGTAAATGCAACGGGAATCCGGATAGCATAAGCGGTTTTTGGTCGGTATTGTGGTGTGGTTTGGCGATTGAGAAGTTGATGCCAACTGGCCGCCGCGCCACACAGTGGAGCGAATGATTCGGGTTGTCGGAAATTATATTTTTTTACTAAAATTGGATTTTGATGCTTATTTCGTTATTTTAATTTTAAGGAATGATTGATAAAGGTATTGTTGAATTTGCACGAAATAATTTTTGTTTTTTCAAAGTTATTTGAGGTTTTTAATCCATTTTTGAATGAGCATCGCGTTAGGATTAGTACACATCCCATGCTCTAGGTTTTCAAAAATTCAGGGATTCAGGCCGAGTAGAGTCTCTTTCTATTGCCATCACTAGGAGTTGAACCCGGACTCTATTGGTCTAGAGTCAGACGCCCTGACCACTAAGCCAAGTTGGCCGACTACGAAAGAATTTCACAGCTTCATCTGAGAGTGCTCAATGAGCTGAGTCTTCAGTAATTTTCATAATTTGTTTCTGAGATAGGACATTGTAGAAACATATATTTAACAGGGAGAAAATTCGCTGCCTTGTGACCGCATCTGGCGGCATTTCCCATAAAAACACGTGTATTTTAGCAGACTAGGATGACCGTCATATTTCCCATACCGAAAAAAAGGTGCTGTAGTAACTCCACTCATGTTTAAAAAAATGTGCAACAACTCTTGGATGTTGTCATTAAGACTCTGGTGTTAAAGTAACGACATCCTTGGATGTTACTTTTACATCTTAGAATGTTACTTTCAAACCAGAGTGTTGATGACAATATCTAAGAGTTGTCGCACATTCTGTAACATGTATTTCTGTTCAGTGTACAGTAATTTTTCAATTTAGAAATCAAGGATATCCTCTTGCCCAATGGACCAGTAGACGAGGCACGAATTTCAGCATTCTTATACACATTTCATAACCAGAATTTTACGCAGAACACGATGCACGTAACGGAAATTACCGAAATCGACTCCTTACAAAGATATTCAATGATTCTTGATGCGTGAATTCAAACTACCCGCTCATGAAAACTGAATGCTTAACGTGACTCACATCGCGCGCTAAACGTTATCATGATAGTCTCAGCGATATAAAAATCTGGCAACCTCAATCTGGACGCTTTGGCTCAGCTATAGCGAGTTGTTCATAGTTTGAACAACACATGGTGTGAAATGAACATTGCTCGATTGAGAAGCTTGCTGAAACCGTTGTAGTGCACGATTTGACTCACGTAGATCTTTGAGTTACTAATGAGTGGACAGTTCAAACTCCCCGAAACCAATGTGAAATAAAAACTTTTTTATCTTTGTTAGGAGTTGATTTCGGTAATTTTCGTTGCGCGAATCGTGTTCTACGTACAATTCTGGTCAAGAATTATGTATCAAAATGCTTAAATTCGTACCTTGTCTAGTGGTCCATTGACACGAGACTTGAAATGGCTAGTTTTAATGATACAACTATATCAACTCCGGAGTGAAGGTGAAGTATAACCGATCATTTGAAGGCATTTTTCTGCGCTTAGCCGCATCTCTCTGGTGAGTAAGACATAGGGCCACTCAAAAACGTATCGACTTCTCGAAAAACTATTCGAAAGCGACAAAATTATATATTATACGTTCTGTACAAACGAATGCAAGCTTTTAAAGGTTCTACATCATGGCCACCTCTCCCATTGATTCAGCCCTTCGTGCGGGGCCACGAAACTGAATTTTGGCTGCATTAACGGCCGCGGCAAAACCGATACTGTATCCGTTTCATCCTTTAAGCGCGGCGCCGGGCGCCGATATTAATGCCAGGTTCGGGGTTCGATTGAATTAGGCGCCGTTGCAATATTACCGGCTAAACACAAACCGGAGTCAATGGTGACTCGTACGAGTTGACGACACTGTTTTCTCCCAATTTAAACTCGTTTTAAATAATTGGACCGCGTTAAGCTGAAAGGACCCAAGCCGCATCAGCGATTGCCAAATTTAACTGGGCAAATTTATTTTTTACATAAAAACGGTTGTGAGGATTTTTGTGCGGATTTTAGTGCATTTTCCGAAAACAACAAGAAAATTTCTTAAAATTTGAAGAGGAATCCGGACAAAAGTTTTTTTGTAAAATTTTAAAAGTGCCCAATCAACTTTAGATGGCATTTAGCAGAAAGGAACCAGCGCGATTACCGTGTTTGCAAAATCGTGCAACTTCTTTTCGTTTAAAATTTCGTTTTAAATATTTGGACCGCGTTAAGCAGAAAGGAACCAAGCCGCATCAGCAATTACCAAATTTAATTTGGGAAATTTAATTTTTTACAAGAGAACGTATGTGCGGATTCCTCCAAAATTTTAAGATTTTTTCGAGGCATTCGCCTCGTACTATGTATAATTTATTGAAATTTGCACGATAATCCGCACCGCACAACCGTTTTCAAGTAAAAAATTAAATTGCCCAAATAAATTTGGCAATAGCTGATGCGGTTTAGTTCCTTTCTGCTAAACGCGGTTCAATTCAGCCTAGGAAAGGGAGCTTTCCTTGAAACATATCGACGGCGGAACTGCGGGGACGGGTATCTCAATTTGCAATTTGCAACGTTGCAGATTTTCTGTAATCCTTTATTATTTAGTCAAAAATTATCGACGTCTGTTTTTGGACCACACCGTATTTTTCTTTTCTGTGTGAAAAAAATTTCCAAAATGCTCCATTATTAGGGTTGCGGTTTTGTTATCTTATGATAAGACGACTTGAGAGTGGGGATTTCAAAACATCGCAAAAGAATTTTTTAATTTACTCACGCAACACTGAAACAAATATCCCATAGTGGAAGGCGCGGGGTCCGTAACTATTCGTGTCTATCAGTAGTTTTCTTGCCTACGCAGAGAAATGAAGGCACTCCTATGGCGTTGCAACTCAGCGCTTTGAAAAAATAGTGACTAATGAATCTCACGCCGCTTGAAACCTCTCAAACTCAAAAAATAAGCAGAATTCGACATACTACGCGCATGTCCAAGAATATCGCGTATGCATGTTGAGTTGAAGTCGCCTGTAACCATGTCTCTCCATTATTTAATGATTAATGAATTTTTAAACGCATTATGTTGAGCCGCATAATGGAAAAGTATCCAACCAAGATGTACCCGTGGCGAGAATTTGATAACATTTGTGATTCGACATTTAATACTTATATTCTTTTCCTATGACTACACTCTAATATTTTCTCTCTGTTTATTTCTGTTCCCAGAACCTGAAGAATCAAATTATGACTACAAACCTATGGGTTGAACAGGTGCGTTTATTCACTTAATTCTTATATAATCAAAGACCAATTCCAGTACTCCACGAACTAATTCATCCAAAATAAGTCTATCTCCCTCGAGAAGTTCTACAAATTATGCATCTAAATTTATCAAGGATGAGATGATTAGTGAAGCTTATAAATTATGCATTTGTCTAAAATTTACGTTCCAAGTATTTGTCAAAATATAATTGTCAAACTGACAATATTTGGGCTTCAGTGATAGTTTTTTTCTCCTCAAATTCCCAAGGGTAAACTTGCTACTTAAAGGATAATGATTTCGTCGTCTATGAAACTCTCGGTATTCATTGCATCATTGAACCGCAAGAAGTAATAGAGGAAGTAGTAGTAATGATGTAGGAAAGTAGTAGTAATAAGAAGTAATGAGGTAGAAAAGTTATCAGCACACGTAACAAAGGAGACAGTTTTTCTCTGATATGAAAGGAAGAGGAAGATTAGTTGGTGTGACTGTGAGAAATACTCATATTTTTATTCCTAAAGGAGCATGACAAAGAGATCTGTTTTTTTCGAAATAAATGAGAGAGTCAATCAATTGTTCCTGAATAAACCCTTTGACCAGTCAAACTCATCTCTTACTGGATATTCGGGTGCAAGACTTTATTACAGGGACCTACATTGTCTCTTCTGAGAGTGCAGTTTTCGTTTGCATTCATTAGAAGAAGATCGATGGCGCAAAAACAAGAAAAACTAGTTTTATTTGCATTAAACTGAATCCGTTATTCCCTTTTTCTGTTGATTCATTTGCACTGTCTTTCGATAGCTTTTCTGCAGATAAAACTGTTTTTCACAGAATGAATTATCCTGAACAGCGCCATCGGTTCTATCGCACAGTGTCTTACATTAAAAGTAGATTTTGATATGTTCATCATGCGCCGCACAGTGGATCGAGTCAATTAGAGAGGTCGGACATGAGAATTTTGACAAAAGCACCAAATTTTGATGTTTATTTTGTCATATTTTAAATTTCAAGGGGCGCTCTTAGTAGAAATTTTACAAAGAAACCAATGAAACCACTTTTCCTCAAGAACCTCAAAGTTTTGTATAAACGGAGTTAAAGCGTTTAAAGTTTCAAAATTTTGTCCGACCTCTCCTATTGACTCTATCCACTTTGCACCGATACTCGCATTAAATATTTCAATTTTATGAGACACTGCCCTCTGATTTCACAATGTCACATGACTAGTTTTAAACGACGTATGGACCGCGCTAAGCAGAAAAGAACCAAACCACATCAGCAATTGCCAAATTTAATCGAAGAATTTAATTTATTACATGAAAACGGTTGTGCAATTATCGTGTGGCAAATCTCGGAGAATTTTCCGCGCAGTAAGAAACATATTCCTTAAAATTTTGAAAGAAATCCGCACAAACGTTCTCTTGTAAAAAATTGAACTGGCCCCTTAAAATTTTGCAATAGCTGATGTGGCGTGAATTCTCTCTGCTAAACATATATCTATTACGGGCAAGTAGTAAAATAAGTCATTTTGTCAAATGCCTAAGCCAGTAGTCAAATATTTTACGTAGATTGAAATTCTGATTCTTTACATAATTTTAGACATGGTCCCGGATGAAAGAATATATTTATCGGCGGCGTAAGTCCTCAACCACGTATCTCGTTTACGGTGTTTGAAAATCTCCGCTCTTATTTATTTTTTAAAGAAGAACACAGCGACATCATTCCTTGAAATTTTCGCAGAGTTTTCTTTCTTCAGGGAAAAAAATCATGGCAGTTTTTGGGAATTGACATTGAGTAGTTTTTCATTTAAAAAAATGAAGTATGACAGGAAGTCTGCCACACTGAGATACGTAGTTGCGGACTTACACCGTCATAATGTTTAGGGATGCAAAACAGTGGCGTGGTGAGCTTTGCGACATATCGATTGTTAGGCCATTTAAACCTATGTAAAAGGATCGATAAACAGGGTGTTCGCAGCGGACACCTCAATAATCGATTCTTTACCATAGGTTTAAATGACATAACAATCGATATATCGCAATGCACTCCACGCCACTGATGCAAAAGGATCGGCGATCTCCATCGGAAAAATAAGACGTTGCAAGATAGAAGAGAGACTATTAAAAACTCGCTCCGAGTCCATACGGGGAAGAAACGTCAAGTCATCCCGACGATCGCAAATCCTAACCCAATTAATAAAGTTGATTTACCGGAGGCGACTTGATTCGCGCCAATTGAATTGGCCGGGCGACTGATTGGAATTTATTGCTTTTTGATTGCAGTCATGGTACGATTACAAACTTCGCTGGGAACCCAAAGAGTACGGCGGGGTTCATATGCTCCATGTGCCTTCGGACCATATCTGGCGACCAGATATAGTCCTTTATAATAAGTAAGTCCCCTTTTCTTTCCTCTCTCCGAAACGTGCTCTGAATCCGACCGGCGGAAAGGCTCCTCCGAAAACGCCTCCATTCGTGAGGGCGTATCTTGATCTCCACTTGGCCCCTGATCTCCGTGTACCTCTATGCGATCTATGGCTCAAATGGGAATAGAGATACGCCCTTATGTCAGAGAAGCGAGGAATTATTCTCGCTATCTGGTCGCACTCGTTATAGAGACGTGCGTGCCTCCCCGAAGGGCGATTTATTGAATCATATCGATGATGAAATGCCGGTTTCACTCCCGGAGACTATTCTACCGTGATAAGAAAGAACGCCGTATGAACCCTCAGGCGTTGCCAAATTTCCTCTGATAAAATACGAATTTATTAGGGAAATTGTAAATATTTTTCTTCCAATTTTTTAGACAATTTTGTACGCAATTTAATCTAAAATATCTGAAAATTTCAAGGAAAAATACGCATAAATTTTGTCAAAAATACATGTTTTATCCGGGGAAATTTGGCAACTCTCGAATGTTTATACGGCGTTCTTCCTTAGCATGGCAATATTCTGCCGTGCTGAGGAAGAATGCCGTATTTAACCTCAAACGTTGCCAAATCTCCTTTCATTAAAAATGAATTTTCTTGGAAACTTGTGAGTATTTGTAAGCTAATTTTTCAAACAATTTCATTCAAATGTAATATAAAATCATTAAAAATCCCAAGGCAAAACGCTTGTAACTGAAAACATGAATTTTTTACTGATCGAAACAACCTTTGAATGCTGTTACGACGTTCTTCCTTAGCATCACACTAATCATGTCTCTCCGTGCGGCCCTTCCCGTTCATTTTCTCCCTTAGTCTATACCAACCTCCCGTTTCAACCAATCGCATAGCTCCATACTCCCTACGTCTTCTTTGTCTATAGCTTTGTCTGTCCATTTCAACAATCAGCCCTCTAAGTGAGAATTAGACAGGCGATGTCGCAAAGCATTTCGCTCCATTTTAAAGTAAGCAATTGTTGACGACTTTTTCCAATGCTGCCGCGCTAGGGAAGAACGCCAAATGAACCTTCAGTCATTGCCAAATCTCCTTTGATAAAACACGAATTTCCTGGTAAACTCATGAATATTTTTCTTCCAATTTTTCAGATAATTTTATTCGCAATTTTACCTGAAGTTCCTGAAAATTTCAAGGAGAAATATTCATAACCTACCGCGAAAATAAACATTTTATCGAAGGAAATCGGCGGCGTGGCGGGCTTTGCGATCTATTGATTATTCCCCATTTGAAGCTGTGGTAAATAATCGATTATTAAGGCGTTCACTGCGAACACCCTGTTTATCGATACTTTTCTATAGGTTTAAATAGCATAACAATCGATATATCGCAAAGTACGCCACGCCACTGAAGGAAATTTGGCAACTCTCGAATGTCTATACGGTGTTTTTCCTTAGCACGGCAGAATGAGCTAGTCATCGTTCCTTGGCGTCCTTTAATCTCTTCGAAAATGCCTATAAGCTCATCAGAAAAGAATCTCAATCAAGATGAGGCGAACGAAAATATTGAAAACCACGGTTTGCCGTCGGCAAAGAGCCCAACGAAGATAGACTTCGTCTCGATTGAGTGCGATGAGGAAATCTGGGCGTTTTGAAGCCGCCCTAAAATCAACAGCTAAAGTCGCCCTGCTGAGTTGATTAAGAGCGATAAATACACGACGACAGCCAAGCCATTCCTTTCTCCGAGTTGTTGACTCAATTCTGGATTAGATGGGAGGCAAGAAAACAGAGGGGAAAGAATAAAGCGCTCAATTCCTTAATTTTATGACTTATTCGACGTTCGGAATCCCACCCCCCCATCCCCCCACCTCCGCGCCATCCCTCTCATCGCTGGCTTTTCTTACGAGAAAAAAGAAAAAGAAATCCACATGTAAATCAGGTCAGAAAGGAACGCCGACTTACTATCTATTCGGTGCTAAGGAAGAAAGTCGTATGAACGCTCGGGGGTTGCCAAATTTTATTTGATAAAAGATATATTTTGGAGATAACTTTCGCTTTTTCGCTCCTATTCGGTTTTTTAGGCAATTTTTATCATTTTTTAATTAATCGAAGTCACTGAAAAAAAGGGTGCTTGGCTCCAGCATAATGATTCTCGAATTTGCCGCCAATAATTTTTTTTCTTGATTTGAGCTGAATTCTTCTTGATCTGACGCAAGAAAAATAATGTTTGGGTTACGCAAAAAAGTAGTTTATATTAAGAAGAAAAATCGTTGATTCAAGAAAAAATACTTCTTGGCGGCGAATTTTAGATTCTTTTTTTTTTTCAGTGACGAGTAAGAGCGAAGGCAATGCGACTCCATCTCTGATTGGTTCTCGTATTAAAAGCCTTTACAGTGTTGCAAATGGGAATAAAGATCACAGTTTCACCAATTGGAAAGTTTATAAACTGGAATGGACCGGAGGAATAGGAGTTGCGGCAAGGAACATATGAAATGACAGTGGGAACGGAGACAGGGATTCGGGAATGGGTTGATCAAAGATTACAGCAAACGTCCGATTTGTGTAATCTTCCCGTTTGTGACGTCCATAAGCTGCGTTGTCTCAACTCTCTCAATAAAGGAACTCTAACTACTACTCTAAAAACTTGGAGTCCCTTTATATTGAGAATCAAGACAACCCCCTTCATGGAGTCACAAACGGGAATAAAGATTACACAAAAGTTTTTTGTGATTTTTGATCGGCTTACTCTCACATTCCTTTCTCCGTTCCTTCTTTCATTCCGTTTGTTCTTTGTCGAGCCCGTTATTCCCTGATCCATTCTAGATTATAATCAATGCAGTTGTTTAAAATGTAATCTTTATTCCCGCTTGTGACACTGTGGAGGCCTAAAATACGGGAACCAATCAGAAATGGATTCACATTGTCTTGACTCTCAGTATAAAGGGGCCCTAGAAAAACTCAGAGCTGGAAAACATGACATCAGCGGTTTTCACACGACGTTAGAGGGGGAATTTGGCAACACTCTGAGGTCCGTACGTTCTTTTTCCTCAGCACGGCTGACGTGTCCCCGGTTTAAAGGGACGACGGAAGAGAGAATCTCCAGGCTATTCCCACGGAACAGAATGATAAATTTACGACTTCCGCTCCCCTTTTTCACTTTAATTTGGCGGTGTTCCAGCTCTCAAATTCCAATTTTCCCGCGGGTGAAATCTCCCGGCACGAGTTAACATGCGTTCGCTCCTCATCAATTTTTTCGCTTCTTTTTTTTCTCATTTTTATTTTTTATTTTCGCTCGCGACTTTCTCCCGTCGCTGGGAATGTTTAAAACGAAAGTGGTGTTTTATCCGGGGGTGAGTGCCGCGTTTCCGCGCGCGACTTAAAAAGGTGGCGCCGCTGTACATTTGCCGGATTTCGCTGAAAATCGAGCGTAATTGGACCGCGTTATTAACTTGTTAAAAATAAATAAATAAATAAAGTGGACCGCGTTAAGCAGAAAGGAACCAAGCCACATCAGCCATCGCCAAATTTAACGGGGCAATTTAACTTTTTTTATACATTTGCAATAAAACCAAAAAAAAAATTAACTTTTTACAAGACAGCGTTTGTGCGGATCCCTATAAAAATTTTAAGGAAGTAGCTTGGTACTACGCAGAAAATTCACAAGTACAAAAATGCGCACAGCCGTTTCCATATTTAAAGTTAAATTGCCCGGTTAAATTTGGCAATAGCTAATGTGGCTTGGTTCTTTTCCGCGTAACGTGGTCCATTTTACACACTATTTTTTTTTAAATTTTTCTTTTATCTTAAAAAAATTTCATTCAAGCAAAACCTAACTACTACAAGAATATGTCTCATATTTATCTACATGATTTAAATAGACCAAATTCATTTCATTAAATATGAAAGAAACGTTCGAGGATAAGATCAAGCGAAATTTTTATACGACTCAAAGTGAAAAATGTATATTTTTCAGAGGTATATGGCAACAATGGTCGTTGCGGAGAAGCCTTTTCGCCCCTCGGTATTATAAATGTTTATTTCCTGTTTTTTTGCTCCGTGAATCGGCCCTTTCGGGGAGCCGGAAGTATTTACCGAGGACCTCATTGAAGAGCGAGGTTTGAAAGGTTTGCACCGGAAGGACAGGAGAGTAATGCGAGCGTTACTCACGGAAGAGTGACATTTTTCAAAAGCACCCCCTACACGGAGGGAATATTTTGCCCCCTAGTGTCAAAATCGGCATCGGGAGGATTTTTGTGCCCCACGGATGACTCCTGTTTAAAATCACTCGACTAGATTTAAATCGATAGGAATTTTTGGAATGTGCCTCTATACAAAGTATGAATCAATCCTACACTGAAAAAAAATATCTCGGTGTATTTACTAAGAAAAGGGTAAAATTACCGAGAATTCAGGGTTCTATTTGATCCCAGTTTTTTCTTGGTAAAATTACTATTTATGGAATTGGTAATTTTACCGAGAAAATCTCGGTAAAATTATTGAACTTTCCCGGTAATTTTACTGGACCTTGGTAGAAACGCCAATATTTTTTATCGACTGTGGTAGAATTACCGAGATAAAATGGCAAAGTTACCGGGAGTTGATTACCAATAAAAAGGGTATTCTTATCTGAAAAAAAAAACAGTAAAAATACCGGTTTTTAGGTAAGCTTACCAGTCTGTCTTAGTAAAATTATACCAATAATTGGTAAAAATAATGAGATGGTAAAGGTACCAACGGTCCTTGGTAAAGACGCCGAGAATTTTTTTTTCAGTGTATACAAAGTATGAATCAATCCTAGTGGCACCTCCCATTTAGCAGAATTTCAAGATTGATTGTGATGAATGGACCACATTTTGCAATGAGGAACCACTGTCTCTGGCTCATTTTAGGAACAACACCTATGCCATTGATTTCCTTATGCAGAAAAATGCTTTTATGGAAGATCCAGAGATAGGGTTTCCTTATTGCAAAATGTAATCCAAATGACCTAGGTATTAAGTGTCTTGTCATTGC